ATGTAAATAATAGATTTACCACGTCTGTTGTGATTTCCATCGTCATGGACCGGATGGTCGAAATGCCAGAACCAGATGTGGATTTAACTTGGTCATCGATTGCTGTTTTGCTTGTTGAACGTGTTGTACTTATGGTTTTCGACTGAACTGTGGAAGTCCACAATTTTCTCGATGTCTGTACAAATCAGTGGGAATAAAATGATGATTAGTGCGTGTAACATAGCAAACGCACGACATTTCCTATCAAACTGTCCATCAGTTTCCAAAAGAGCAACAACGGATTACTAGCGTTTCTTTCAAAACATCTCACTTTTCAAATATAAATTTACATGTATATTTTGTCCAAAATTGATTTACCACGTCTGTTGTGCTTTTCCCGTTTATTGGCCGGGTGGTCGGCTTGTCAGGACCAGAAGATATGGATTTAACTTGGTTATCGATTGCTGTTTTGCTTGTTGAACGTGTTGTACTTGTGGTTTTCGACTGAATTGTGGAAGTCCACAATTTGGTCGATGTCTGTAAATTGATAACGGGAACAAAACAAACGAACAGCAAGCACTTCTTGTCAATTAGATTATGACAATGGATTTGTATGTACGGGCTGAACTGAATAGTATGAGTGGTGCATTTGTGATGCACTGGTTTGTTACCTCTTTCGCGGTGACTGGAACGGACATGGTCGCCTAAGATAGCCTTACTGATCACATTCGTTCAAACTGAGATATCATCAAAAGTGACGCATTCTGTGAGACTGGCCGAGTCACTGACTGTCAAGTAGGCATCAAAATACATCGAATTACCGAACCAGACTATATTCAATAGCAACCTTATTGACATGGAGCTGTTTTCTAATAAACTTTTCCATCCGTGACACTTTGGTCTGAAATCATGCGACCGCAGTGAGAACTAATATTTCCTAATCCGATTTTCCGTTCATACATAACTAGATAAGTCTGATTACTGTACCCTGTTCATGAGCCTGATGCCAAAGAAACACCGAATGGTATGTACTCTACTTGGATCGGAATCGCGTGGTAGTGATAAAAATAACGGGTTGGCATAATGAAAATCACAGAGGATGGGGATAAAGTGAAATGCATTTTAGTTTTTCCCTCTGCATAGGATATTTTGATTTTTCGGCTCTGCGTGTATTCAATTAACTGACTCACCGCTTCTGTCGATACTACTGTGGTCGCAGGCTCTGTGGGGACCTTGGAACAGCCGTTCAGTTTGAACAACTTGGCTTCATCTTCTGTAAACATGCTTGTTGGAAGTACATTGAATATTTTGGCCACGGTTAAATTAAAACCGAACAGCCTCGAGGTTGCCTGCAAAAAAGCAAACAACAATTATTATAAGGACAGTGATTCATTTTCCGTTTATGCGCAAATAATTTATTATCAAATATATCGCAGTTATGAACATCGTATCGTCAAAAGTCTGTAGGTTTTATGCGCTAAATCAACGAAGGAAGACAGCTGAATAGACGTTAACTGCAGGTAAAATCCTCTCAATAAATCAGATCTTCCATGTAGGTTACTGATTGGTTTGCCACAAACTTATTTGATCGGAATAATAATTCATATTCAATACGCGATTACTTGAGAGTAGGGAAATATGCTCTACTATAAGAAGAGCACAATTCATCAGGTCCAGTGCTACCGAGCGTATAATTGACTACAGGAGCTAAGGATTGCCCGTGAAAGTGAGGCACAAATGATGCTCAATTAAAATCCAGGTCAATCGCTGGTAGGAGCCAGTGCCTGTATTCATCCTCTATGGTGATCAGCTGAAAGTAGGCCACTTCAAAACAACTGATGATGTCACCTCGGCTAGTGATGAAACGTTTGCAAACACATTGCCAAGCTCGGCGAACAAGCGAAATGGAATTCAGTTCACCCGAGCTACGAGAACCAGCTTTCAGTACCTCGGGAGCTTGATCGCAGCTGGGTTCCCCAAGAAAATTCGCCCACCTTGGCCTGGGCAACCTAACAGTACTCAGCCCACATGCAAATCGTGGAACGTTTATCTTTTTATAAAGATTATTGTACTGCGATTTGTTTGGCACATGATCTGAACTCAAACCTGTGCGATATATATATATATATATATACCACCAGGCAGAAATTCATTTCTTTGGCATCAAGCTTTACAACAGCTATACATAAAATCAGTCCATATATCAAGGGTAGATGCAGCCGCATCTCCTGAATTGTGAGTGAACTCGTATATAGCCAGCACGCAGACACCAATTGCTGTTTTCTAGACCACACTTCCAAATGTAAGGTGACAATGTGCGAACTCGTTACTGCTGATTGACATTCTCGAATTCGAACTGCCATAAGATTCGCAGATCCGCGGTTTTTTGCCTGGGTGCACTAAATTAAGATGGAGCCTGCCTTACCCTTGAGTGTTACCAAAAAGGTCACTTCTTATTCAAAACCTAATTGTTCGAAATAAAGGCTCATTCCAGTTTTATGCTCCCGAAAAAACTCACCGTGATGTTTACATGCCATTCACGCGGTGTACTGATCTTGTATGCATTCATTTTACAAATATGCTTTAGATTCCGATCCGACGGTCTTTCGAACGCATATTCGCTTTCGTGCGTTGTGATGCTCGAGCTCCAATTGTCAACGGATATCCACGAGTTCTACGCGTGTGTGAGCGAAAGTGAGAGAGAAGGAGAAAAATGCAATCAGAAAGAGT